GCCGCAGATTTGGGAGATGTGCTCACCACCCACGAGTTCTCGAGGAGGGGCGGCGAAACCGAGATGGGCCGCCCCAGAGGTGGGAAGGACAAGACAACAGCTGCCCCAGCTGTGGCTGGGCTGACCTCCTGCCTCGGGCCAGAGGGTTCCCACGGCGGGGTCGCAGGATGCTGTCTAACGATTCGAGTAGGGGATCGACTACAGAATCGATGTACCCTAATCCTGCTATTTCGTCGAAATTCACGAACGATGCCGAGAGTGCACCGTGGATATACGAGCATTATTTTGGTGTTTGGTGGGCATCCACGAAACAAACAATTTTGCTACATCAATTCTGCAGTCGATTCTCTGTTCGAACGGTTGCAACAGAAATATCGACCAACCCTGCGTTTCACGGTAGCATTGGGCTGCCAGTTTTGGATCGTAATCGACCCGTTCCGTTTCTTTCTTCCCCCTTCGTCTTGCTCTGAGCCGTCGTTGGGTTCGTCGCCAGTCTTAGCGAGAATGCGCGATGGGACTGTTCCAGGGAGTCGATGCTGAGGATGTCGGGCACGCGCAGAGGGGGGTATGCGGGAGGGGGGAAGGCTGCTGAGAAGCGCCCTTCTTCTCAGCAGGTGCGGCCTGCGCCGTGAAGACGCGGCCTCCTTCCAAGAAGCCTTCCCCACTCCCCCTCTCATCCTCCTGCTCCTCCTGCTCCTCCTCCTCCTCCTACTCCTCCTCCTCGGCCTTCTCTTCATCTTCCCCGCCATCCTCCTCCTCCTCCTCTTGATCTTCCCCGCCATCCTCTTCCTCCTCCTCCTTCTAAGAAGCCTTCCCCCACTCACCTACCCCCGTCTGCGCGCCGCCCGGGATGAGGGGGGGGCCTGACGTCGGCGCGCCGCGGAAATGTAAACAGCATGGCGGCCGTGTGTCCACGAGATCTCCGCCGCGGGCCAGTTCTGGGCCCTGGGGCCGTCCAGGGGCGCCTCGGGGTGAAGAACCTGTCCCCCGGGACGCGGGCGACGGGTCTGCGGCTTCGTGCCCCTCGTCGCGAAGAGCTCGCGATCCGCTGTCTTCCTTCACAGCCGGACCTGTTGCTCTCGATGGGGCGATCGGGGTTGTGAGGAAAGTCCCGCGTGAAACAGGCAGCCGGTTGTCCGACATGTGACCCAGGCCTCGTGGAAGCAGAGACGGAAAGCAGGCGCCGATACGTCGGGGTCAGGGTTTGTATCCGTTGTGTTTGGCGTCACCCAACATACTTGTACTATATGTGCGTCGCCCCCCCGGGGGCTGGGGGCGATGCGCGCACCGAGAAATCTTCTAGTATATGCCTCGTGGCGGGCGCTTTCTGGCCACGCCGCTCGGGAAACGATATACTACAAGACGGGTACACTCTATGTTTGGGTCGGTCGCGGGCCTCCAAGGAGAACATACAGTACTGGTATGTCTTTGTGCGTCCCATGCTTCGGAGTCGTGCCCCCGGGGTCTCGAGGAGTGGCTTACGGTAGGTTCGCGTCGTGTCGACGCGGCGGCGACCCCGGCGAGGGCGTCCAAGGTGGAACGCCGCCAAGTTGCGGGGAGTCGGCCGTCATCGAACGATCCGCGCCATCGGAAGCCACAATCGTTCAAGTTGAACGATCCGCGCGGTGTCAGTCTGGGCCTCCCGGACGGGGTCGGAGCAGATGGGAGGATCGCGCCGCATCGCCGATGCATCGGCGATGCGGCTCGATGTGGGGCCTCATGTTCTCCACGCCTACGTCGCCGATGCATCGGCGATGCGGCGCGATCCGTCGACCCCATCTACTGGGACCCCACTCTAGGAGGCCTCTAGTCAGAGACCTAAGCCGACGTCGTTCGAAGAAGGAAACACGCCTTAAACATAAACGTTTGGCGATCGATGGATTTCTTGGGTCCGCGCTGGGCCCCCCCCGCGGCGCTTCCGGCGCCGCCCCGAGGTCTAGCGCGGATCCAAGAAATCCGCGCGGAGCGCCAAACAATTATACTTATGCCGTTTTGTTCTTCTTCCAGTCGTCACGACACGAACCCGCCGCATTTAGATGTCTGCCCGTTCCCGCGGGCCAGAAAGAGTCCTCGCCAAATGTTTCCCCATTCCCCTCGTCATTCCCCTACCCTATCCCCTCCTCTCATGTTGCATCCTCTTCCCCATCCCCATTTCCCTCCCGATCCCTCCTCTCCTTGTCCTTGCCCCTGCACCCTCCAATATGCCCCCCTTCTCTTTCCAGCTTTCGGTCGATCGCTCCCCGTCTCCTATCCATTTCATGCCCTACCGTCTCAGAACTCGTTCATCTCACCTGGACAACGTCAAGCAACACACAAACAAATGGGCCAATTGCGCGGGCGTGTGCGCGAAAGTTTTCCGCGTAAGTCCTCGCACAAGCACCTTTTTGCCTACGTGCAGTACCGCTCTGGTGGCTTGTGTAGAATCAGGCGTAAGGTCCTTGCACCCTCGTGTGTAAGATCCACTGTTTCTTACTCGCCTGCTTGTCTCTCCTCCTGGAAGGCCCGCAGCCATCGTGCCGTCATCGCGAACTCGTTCGGGGCCACTGGCGACAGCTCGAAGAAGGACGGCCCGTTGGAGGTGCTGTGCGGCGAGTGGCGCGACGCCAGGGGCTCGACGTACAAGCTAGACTTCGACGGGGCGAACTCTCTGAGCGTGCTTACGATACGTCCGGACGGGAAGACGATGACGACCGACAGGCTGGTGAGGCAGATCGACGTGGGGGGTCGGGTGACCTGGGGTGCCAGGGCGACGTTCGAGCTCGTCGAGCCCGTCCCGGAGGGAGCGAAGGAGATTCGCTGGAAGAGGTGTGAGGACGGCAAGGTCGCTTTCATATGGACGAGGCTCAAGGGCTCTCGGCGGTGATCACACACAGTGCCGCCCGCGCGCTCGGGGTGCCGCGGTCGCCGCACGGCACGCCTGAGTCGACGCATTTGCAGGCGTTCCGGCCTGTTCCCCCGCGGGCCGAGCGCTCGCCCCCGGCCGTATCGGCACCGACGCCGACTGTGCGGTCCCAGCCCCGCAGCAAGGACGCGGCACGGAGGAGGAGGAGGAGGAGGAGGAGGAGCAGGTGGAGGAGGAGGAGGAGGAGGAGGAGGACTCACCGAGGCTGCCCTTGAACCCCTGCCTCTGCCCGTCGGCCCCTTCCCCTCCCGTCGTGCGCCGCGGGGGCGATCTCCTCGTGGGCTCGCCCGGGGGTCTTGCATCAGCACTTGCCCTGCGTCTGCAGTGCGGGTGTTGAAACTGCGCAGGCCGTGCCCTTCCTCGGCTGCGCTCTGTCGCTGCCGGTTCCCGGCGGTGGGCGCGGGCGTCTGGGCCGGACGATCTCTTGGCGCGTGCGGGCCTGACATTGCTGGGAGCCGGGTCGGGGGCGCGGGCAAGGGGGCCTGCATAGATTGGTCGTTGTCGGACGGGGCTAGGACGAGGATAAGTCCATTCCAGAGCGTTCCAGAACGCTCTCAGAGCGTTCCAGAGTGCTCTGAAAAGACCGCGGCGCCCGAGACATCCTCCAGAGCCGCCAGACCTCAAAGATTCCCGACTTATCCTCACCTGAATGTATCAATTGATCCTCGTCCTGGCTTCGTCTTTGAGGACGAGTGCGACGAGGATGAGGGCAAGAGGAAGAGGCGGGGTCCGCGGCAAACCCAAGAGTGGGACGACAGTCAGCAGCGGTTGCCAGGGGCAGGAGCAGCGATCAGGAGCAGCGGCACGTCCAGGACCAGCAGGAGGAATTGGGGACGGGGGGGGAAGGGGGGCGAAGGGGAGGGTGGGTAAAGGGAGGTGGGGAATTTCACCCCCTCCCTCGCAGGGAGGGGTAAATTCCCTCCGTACTCCCGTTGAAAGGGAAATTTCAACTCCTACTCATCGTTCCCCCGTTCTCCTCCCCTCCCTGGCAAGGAGAACGAGGAGAAGGAGTAGTTTGACATTGGTGGCAGGGGGAGCAGTGGCGGAATTGGAGCTCGTGGTTTCAAGGTCTGTATCATTTGGGACCTCGTGAGGACCTCAGGATTACCCTCGAGAAGTGCCAGCTAACCGCATGTTCGCTTGCATTGATACTCTGCCAGGGGGGGAAGGCCCAGCGGGGAGTATTACATGTATCGAGGGGCTCCGATGGCCCCCGCCCTGGGCTATTCGGCCAAGGATTGATGCAAGGTAACGCTGTTGGCCAGACCAGCCTGGTCTACTTACCCAGTGGGGCCGAGGGGAGGGATGGGGGGTGTTCTGGCCAGCGCCAGTGCCAGTGCACGGTCAAATCCCATCATGAAGGAAGCAGTGCGTCATCCAGGATGCCTTCACAGTCCTTGCCTCCATTGATCCATCCTTCTCAGCCATGCGCCGCTGGAAGTTGAACCAGCATGGACGCCCAAGGGTCTTGCATCCTCGCCGCAGACTCTTTGGGCTGTTTGCTGCATGGCCAGCGCTTCTTTGCCCCCGTGACCGCGCCCCCTCCTGGAATGTCGCATGGCAGGAAGGCGAGCCCTTCCGTGGACGCGCAGGCGTGCGAGAGGAGAAAAGGGGCCCGTGCCGGTGGGCAGGGCCCGCAGGGGGCAGGGGAAGGCGTCGCCGTGCGAAGGCGAGGGACTCAGAGGGCTTGCCCGAGGGCCAGCTCTGCTGCGCTGGAGCAGTGGGTGTGGCGCAGAGGGGTCGGCGGTGGGAGGCGCAGTCGTGCATTCGGTGCATACGGGTGCGTTCAGCGGTATATTCGGGGGTGGGTAGACCTCCTACCCTGACACGTCGATTAAGGAATTGGCCGTTTTCGGTTCGCGAGAGGGCGTCGCGGCCGTCATTTTTGCGGGTCCAGGTCCGTCGGTTTCGGTCCCAGGTCGTTTTCACTAAGGGGAGGTCTACTAAAGGGAGGTTTGTCCACCGCCGATCTATGCAACACTGGTGTCAAGGTGGGGCACCAGCTATTGTGAGCGCAATGTCTCTTGCATGTGAACCAGCATCTACGACTGCATCCTCGCGCATCCACTTCCCGCGGAGCAATCTGCGAAAGACCCGC